ACTAAATATCACGCTTGGGTGGATGGGACCTTTTAAAAGGAACCCTCATAGGAACCAAGGAGGGGGGTTTTGTTTTGTAATTTTTGCTAGCAGTGTATCAGATTTGAGTATTTTGTTATTTTTGAGACATTACATAAGCATTTTGGAATTGTCTAAAAGTTTACACTTTGCAGAGGCTCTCGTTAATGCTAAATCATTTATACACAGCCAGTTCAGGAGACAAGAGAATTAATTTAAGCTGTAGTTGCAGGTATTTGTAAAAGTAGCACTGCCCCAGACATAACTCCCCAGCCTTGGTAATCACCGCTGCTGCCAGTTTCCATTGACTGTAGAGTAAGAATTACAGTGAGTGTGGGGGTAATAATCAGTGTTGAGTCTCTCAGTATGAGCCCGAGGGGTTAATGATGATTGTTTCACCTTGAAATAAGACCCTGAAAGGTGACAGCTGAGTGTGTACTCTCCTCTCCACGCTGCTGTGGAATAATACGTATTATTATCCTTTATTTCTAGCTTGTGGTGGTTAATGATGGTTGTTGGTTCTTTCAGTTTGTTCCTTACAAGTTAGAAATTGACTGAAATTCTGCTGGCACATTTGAGATCTGCCAGGCGCTACGAGTTCTGCCAACATTAGATTGTTAGCTCTTTTGGGTAAATGACTAATGTGAATGGAGATTTCTGTAAAGAGCCGCGGAATATGGTAGCACTATATGAATTCAAATAATTGGGAATCATTTTGTATTTAGGGCAAATGGCAACTACAGGTTCATTACTGCAGTTGTTGCTGTCAGTGAAGAGCTTCTACTGAAGTCCCGGATAGCTTATAATCCTGTCGGGGTATCTGACCCATCCCCACCCTTCCCCACTCTTCCAACACTTAAGAAAAAAGGTTTTTGTTGGACATACACTTTAACCTTATGTGGTTTACACATTATGCACTTGGAAGTATATACTGAGACGCTGCAGCTGAAGCGGATCCTGACAATTGTGCTGAGATCCGCCCAGCTGCGTGACTGACAACTGGCTCTGCCTATCTACAGGCAAAGCCAGCTGTACCCCTCCCCGTCCGTTCCGCCAGTCATCGCTGGCGGATCGGAGCGGGGAGGGAATACAGAGTGCCGTGACAGGATCGAGAGGTGAGCGAACGCCGGAATGTGTTCGCTCACCTCCCGATCTACTTAGCCGACCTGTGACAGTCTCATTGTCCACAGGTCGGCTAGAACTATGAGGTGAGTGAAAAGCACTCACCTCATAGTTCTCTAAGGTAAAAACGCCTTTTCTGTCCCCCACTCACCAACCTGTGCACAACCTTAAACTTGTAAGTTGGCTTGTGGAGCTTTCATGAGAACATCGGTTTGTCAACTTTGTGCCATGGCATTTCTGCCGTTTAGTAATAGCTTCCTGATTTGAGTGAAGTGGTTCTTTATATGCAGCGGAGATTACACATCCTGTTGCTTTTTTTTTTTGCACAAAAGCTTCCATTGATCCTACACACCCTCTGGGCACTTGCTGCCAATATACTTTTTTTTTGTCTTATCAGCTGTCTGCCTCAGTTTGCAGTTGTTTGACCTTCATCCCTAGGCGGTCTTGTTTATTAATCCCTACGTTGACAAATTTTAGGCAGTGTCAATAATAAGTGTATATTTGGAAACATTGGTGTTTTCTAGTTACCTGCTTTTTGTGATCTATTGTCAAGAGTGGTTTTTTGTTTTTGTTGTGGTTTTTTTTCAAGATATATATACACACACACACACACACACACACACCACTGTAAAATAATTTGCACCACTTGTTGTAAAGACTTGCATTTTATTTCCTGTGTCCTGGAAAAGTCTTCATCTTTCCATACAGCAGGGTTCATTGTGGTTTGAGAAAATTCTATGACTGCATGTAGTCTTGGGATCTCTTACTATTGGACCTGTGGGTGAAACTCTCTGTGCTTTATCTGTTCGGAGAAGACACACCAGGGTATTGGATTGATATTAACAGTTGTATAAACCGCATTGATCAGAGCTGGGTTGAATTAACACTTGTTGTATATTTATAGATTGATGAAAATGAGCCATATATCCCATGTCCTTATTAAAGCACTTTTGTCAGGATGGGGAATATATGATTCGCCTGTGGGGTAATGAAGTCAGAAGTGATTAATGAGTGGCTTATGGAAGGGATTACTCCTGGTTTATTGATCATTAGACATTCCATTCACAGCATTGTGCTAGTAAATCTCGGCAGGTTTCTGGTGCTTCAGAAAAAAGGGCCCCATGCAGCAGTTGGCAAGAAAGCTATCTTATTAAATCTCAGTGTGTATTCCAAAGGTACACCAGAGGAGCGCTAATACTTTTTTTAAGCAGTTTGAGTAAACACGTGTGGTTTTTATCGCTCTAGCTCAAAATAATAACATTCTCCCAAAGAATCTTATTGCCAAGTACAGCATTTTGCATTAACTATTTTGCCATCATAGTGATTGTATGCACCTCCTTAAGCTGGCTGTATGTATGCAAAATTTTGCAGTTGATTATATATATATATATATCTCTCATCAGGTAATTGATGGTTTCCATTAAAGTGACATTAAAGTCAAATTTGTTCCCCCCTTCCCAATCCTGCTGTAGGGACTTACCATAAATTATGTATTTTGATTCGATCATCTTCTTTCCTGTCCTTTTCAGCTGTCCCTCCAGCACTGGGTGCGGGTCTCCGATCTCCAGCGCTGACTCCTCTGTCCTCTTCTCTCATGTCCCACAGTGTCTGTGCGGGTGCACGCCGCTCCACAGACTTACCTTGTGTCTCTCCTCGTCTCCCAGCCGAACATCTGAAGTGCGCATGCGCCCGCCCCAAGTTCCTTTGCGGATGCCCGAGACTCTTCAGATGTTTGGACGGGAGCGTGCGGCGAAGACGCAGGTAAGTATTAACCCTTTTTAAACGGTGGTGTGTTTTTGTTTTTTTTTTTTGTTTTTTTTAAGCAGCTGACCAATGGTTGTCACTGCTGGGGCTCGTAAAAAACAATTGTTTTGCAGAGACTGCAGATTTGCTAGAGAAAATGATGGCCAGAAACTGTGGACATAATACAAGTTTGTTGGAGTTTGAATGCTGCAAAAGACAGTGAGATACTAGGAACATGTTCCATGAGGCTAGTAGAGATCGCCACTATTACCCCCTTTACAAATAGGCTGCTGGGGTCCAAGGACCGCAAAAGGTACCAAAAAGCCATATGCGACTAGCGGGCTGCAAGTTGGGCACCAGGGACTTGGAAACTCCATTGGTGGGATTGTTGTGCAGTATTGTGTGCCTCCGCTTTCTCACAAATGACCATAACTAAAGTGTTACACAGGCAGCTAGAGTCCTCATATTTATTTTAGATTATTGGGATAGTGTTTGATCGTATCATTTTGTTTTGAGATCTTGCTTTAATAAAAAAAATGCTAATAACTATTATGTCTTATTTCAGATTCTGTATTGGGAAAAGACTATTCTACATTGAATTGTTCTTCTACCCTGACCTGCTGAACAACTAGAGTTTAAATCCTTATCACGATGGCTGACATTGTGAATTCAGTGCTTGCTCTACCTTGGGAGGAAGAAGAATGCCTGGAATACTATGGCATGTTTTCCTTATACCAGTTGTTTCATGTAATCGGTTCCCAGTTAACGGAGAGCGATGTTAATGCCCTGTCTTTTCTGTTGAATGAATCCTACTCGTTCACTCACCCCCTGGACCCAAGCATCTGGACAGTAGAAGAAGCTGGTGAAATGCCCAGCAGTGCCTTACTGTCTGCCTGGAAGAAATGGAACTGGCACCCTAAGCCCGGCAATGATTTGGAATTCTCTGAGATTCAAAAGCCTAAAAATGGCATTGATCTGCTCTTTGAATTGGAGAGAAGGGGGTATTGTGAAGAGGGCAACTTTAGACATCTACTGCAGCTACTAAGAGTGTTAACACGGCATGATCTCCTTCCATACGTCTCTTTGAGAAAACGTCGCCCGGGTAAGAACATGTTCTCAGCGCCGTCACCATCTTCTTTTAATTTAAATTGACCTAAATCTGTATCTAAAATATCATACAAGGCTATTTCTGTATATTCAAGTTACGTTTATACAAACAACGAAATATCGCCTATTGCACTCAACCCACAAAAGCCACAACCCAACTTTATTGTGTTAAAAAAAAAAAAAAAAAGGTTTTCTGCTCCAGGGCCTATTCACTTTGAAAGGTTTACTTCCAAATCCAATATGGCTGTGGTGCATACTGCGCCTTTTTGGGCTATGAAACCTTCCTTTAAACCCTGCATGAGTCAGCCTGCAGAGGTTAGATATTTGAGCAGAAGGAAATGTAGACTGTGTGTGGAATTGCAGACGAAAACTTGCCTTTTTTTTACACTAGGAGGTTTACATTTGTGGTGGGGGGGATATTCAAGTTAGTGTAATCTACTGTTCAAGTACTGTACCATCTGAACACAATGCTCTTCTGCCTGTGAGGCTTATGACTGTTAAGCGGTGAAACAGAAATTTATTGTGGCAAATCTTCTATCCATCTAGAGTCTAGGCTACAAATATCCTTTTTTTTTTTAAATCCTAGAATAGCAAGCATGTAAGCATTTTGTCTGGGAGTAATGCTGGTCTAATATTGCTCATTGTAGTTTTATGATGGTTCAGTTGTCACAGATCTTATTCTGCTAGTGAACAATCCATGTGCCAGCCTGGATTGAGTCTGAGCACCCAATCTAGTTGTAGTGTACAGGGTGGACTAGCTCATAACAATCAATCTACAATAATCCCCGTTTTCTAAATTTATAGTTACATCGCTATTATTATTATTATTATTATTATACAGGATTTATATAGTGACAACAGTTTGCACAGCGCAACGCTTGTAAAATAGTTAGGAAATTCTCGGTGCATCAGTGTTGGGCTTTGTACAGATCAGCTTCATTACAGAAAAGGGCAGTGTGTGTAGCGCGGTATTAGCAAACCTTTCAGCAGGCTTTTGAAGCCCTTAAAGCAAACTTTAAGTCCATTTTGGGGATTTATAAAAAGGTCTTCATGATAGTTTTGACTGTCACTTTGAGAAAGCTGCTAGCTTTCATGTGGTGAAAAGACTTCCCGAAGCTCATTAGCAGCTTGTTTAAAGTCGCAGCAACACTCCATTTAGGCTCTAAATATGCTTTTAAAGGCATCAATAAAGCTTGCTGAAAGTGTTGCCCAATTGTTAAGGCTGGGTTCACACCTAGGCGTATCGAATATGCGCGTTTGTCGCGCGTTTCGTGTCGTGTTTTTATCGCGATTTGCTACCTGGCTGTATCCCAATGGATATGCGCAACAAACGCTCCTGTACTTCTTTGGGCGTAGGGCGTTTTGTAGCGTGTTCATACGGCCTGTAATACTCCCATGTGTGTACCATACCCATAGGAAATAATGGGATTTCGGTGTTTGAGCGTTTTGCAGAGCGTAGGAACGCACTACAAAATGCCCAGGTGTGAACCAGGCCTTAAGCTTGCTGTACACAATTCATATACAAGCTGAAGGCCTTAAAGCAGCGGGGCACTTAAATGGTCATAATGGCTATCATGTGTTGCCTAGATATCAACTTGTTTTAATGTTCATTGTTGGCAATAAACAAGTTGAGCTAAGGGCTAGTTCACACCAGCCCCAGTGCGTTCTGGCCCGATTCGGTGCTGGATTGCATACCGGCTGGCTCAGTTTGGGGGCGTGGTAGTGCATTGAAGTCAATGGCTCCGCGGCCAAGCCCTCCGGCCGCAGTGCGATCGCCCGCACTGGAACATGTGGCACGATAATGCCTGCATTGCATTCCGGTGCTGTCGAATAAATGCATGCACCACCACACCCCCTCCCTCCCCAAAACAAAGTGAGCTGGTCTGGATGTGATCCAGTGCATTATGGCACCGAATCAGGCTGGAACGCACTGGGGCCCTTAGAGTTGTTTCAGATTGTTTTGGTAGTTTTATTTTTTTTTTGTCTTTTAGTTTTATAAATTACAACGTTTTATTTGAAAGTGCAGAAGTTTTTTTGGCTACCAGCTGTCACATCATGTGTTTTTATTTTTCATCTCCAGTATCCCCTGAAAGGTATACCTACGGGCCTTCAGTTATGGACTCAAAAAAACAAGTGGACGGATGTCTTAATCCAACTGCATCACAATCCAATGAAGAGAACTGGGAAACAGGTAGCCTATATCTGTAGAATATTTGACTGTTTGTGTTGTGAGATACATACATGCATGCATGCATGCATGCATGCATGCATGCATACATACCTCAAAATTTCCGCTCGCACTTGGCGAGTGGAAATTCAGTTAGGCTTGAGTCGGTACATGACTAGTGGGAGCAGCTGCTCCTGCTGGGCTCTCTGTTCTGTCAGCCGCTGCTCTTCACTGAGCTCCTGGTCGAAAACGGAGTGATTTATAATGTATAAGTTGTTAATATTTATTTTTGTAACTTTTGCATAAAACATCTAACAGTGTAATTTATAAGATTATTTAAGAGGGTGTGTTTAGGGGCGGAGATAAGGCCAGGGCAGGGTAGGGGCTTGGTGGGCAACTGGTGGCGAGTAACTCAGGACTTGAAATTTTGACCTGTGTATTTATATTTATAATAAAATTGGGTATGGCTCACTATTGTAGAAAGTGATGGGTATTTATTTTACTAAATATGAGGGGTTGAGCATATTATGCGTCATATTTGTATATGTGTAGTGTTCCTGGAGAAATGAGCATTAATGGAATTGCTTGATTTAGTGACATGAGGGTAAACTAAAAGCACAGCACGTCAGTCTTGTATTTATCTGAATTTAATATGCTGGCTCTATTACAGGTTCTACTCCTAAGAAGAGAAAACGATCAGCAAATGTAAGGCGGGGTCGCTGCCAAAAACCAAAAAAGAGCAAAGTGAGCAGTGCTCCCGAACAGGCAGAGCCCACCCAGAACAAAGTCACATGTGGTGAGTATGCCCAGAAATTGCTTTGTGTGTTCATCGGCTTGCTGAACTCTCCCTGTGAGAGATTAACATCACTCATAGTATACAGTAACTCATGACCCTAATGGGAAGAGTTTACATGTGTAGTCCTGCAGGATGTCACAGCAAGCCGCAATGGAAGTGCTGTTTTAGGCCTGGCTGTGATTTAGGCACTTTCGATCACTCAGGTTAATTTTGTGAAGTAAAAATGCCCTGGTGTCTGCCTGCTAACCTCTCATCCCCCGCTGCAAACAAATGCTAGCTTCTCGGACCTTGAATTAATCTCTATACTTCCAAAATGACATTTGGGTTAGCTGCCACTGCATGGTTGAGTGCAATAAAAACTATTATTGCGCGGCCCTATGGAGAGCAACACTGCATTGTTTACCTAAAGTTGCTAATCCGCAATCTCCACTAACTGGATAGCATGTCTGCACTCCAGCGTGTTGCCAGGGAAAGTTTTTTCATGGTCCTCCGGTGCTCGGCCCCTCACACTTTTTTCTAAAGCTGTGTGCAGTCGCCCTACTACACTGCTCTGCTGCCTTCTGTTTGTATGGGTCTAAACTGGGAGAAACACAGCATCAAGCCTGACTTTCCAAAAACAGCTTCTTATTACGATTGCAAAATTTGCTCATTATTCGGTTAATGGGCATTAAAGGGAAGAAAAAAAGATTGTTACTTTGCAACTTGTGTTGCTGAGTGTCTTAGCATTAAGGGCTCAGTCACACTAGATGCAGCGCGTTCTGGCCCGATTTTGGCCGGAACGCACTGCCTCGCATTGCGACCGGCTCACTTTTTAGTGTGGTAGGAGAGGGCGTGGCGGGCCATTCAAATTAATGGCGCCGTAGCCACGCCCTCTGGCCGCAATGCGATCCGCCGCACGGGATCGCAAGGCACATTGTGCCGTCGGTCCCGTCCTGTGCAGTGCGATCAAAATAGTGCTTGTAGCATTTTGATCACACAGGATCAGACCGCAGGCACAATGTGCCTTGCGATCCTGTGCGGCTGGAGGGCGTGGATACGGCCCCATTCACTTGAATGGCCCACCACGCCCCCTCCTACCCCACTAAAAAGTGAGCCTGCCGCAATGCAAGGCAGTGCGGTCCGGACAAAATCGGGCCGGAACGCACTGCATCTAGTGTGACTGAGCCCTAAGATCTTTAAGTGAAAACGCAAATATTAGGCGCTTCACTACATTTTGAGATGGATTACTTTGTATTACCAATACAGCTTATCACATTTTGAAGCATGACAAATTTAAACAAAATACTTAACTCTTCTCCAATCAGTATCTGCTGTCCAAGTAGACTGGATCTTCTCTCACTTAACATTTTCAGAACTTGGATGGACATGACTTGGTATTTGAAGCTTTACATGATTAGGAGTTTGTTCACACCGTGTCCAGACCAGAACAGTTTGTTCCTGAACCAAAAAAGCATCCCTATGGTATTTCTGGGCTCTGTTCACACTAGCGCAGTCTGTTCCAGTCCAGAAAAAAAAAAAATCAGGCAATCCCCAACTTACGAACGCCCGACTTACGTACAACCCGTACTTACGAACCAAGGTCCAAGATTGCAGCCACTGTAGCACGCAGCGTTCCACTAGTAACGGTGCTCGTGTCGACGATCGCAAGACGAGTAGTGGGTCTGGATTGTAGTACTGTACTGTACTTCCTGCAGGAAGTCGTTGGTGAGTGCCCCGCCTCTTCAGTTTCTGGTACTGAACAGGAAGTTGGCTCTGACTGTCATTACCCCTGTCATAACCCTGTATGTACTGAACACTTTTATTTGTCTTCCTTGTCTACTGGTTTGCCTGTTACAATGCTGAAAAACAAATTTGATACAAGTGCTGGTTCTGAACAGGGGCACAGACGGCAAAACAAATAACCCTTCCCTATTCTATCCAAAACGAAAAAAAACATTTTTGGCTGAAGTTACACCTAAAAAATTTACCTGTTCCAACTTGCATACAAATTCAAATTAAGAACGAACCTACAGTCCCTATCTGGTTTGTAACCCGGGGCTTCCTGTACTGCTTCTCTCATTTTCTCTGGTCTGGAACGCATGAGAATGTATTAATTGTATGCAGACACACTGGACTGCACCTGAAAGCCCATTTTAAGCTAAAAAAAAGCAGCAAAAATGCACCTCACTGCGTTAGATCTGCTCCAGATCTGGTCTGGACATGGTGTGAACAAGCCCTAATGGCAATGTGCCACATTGACCCCCAGACCCAGCCGCTAGGGCATTTCAGACACGTAAACATTGTTCCCGGTATCTTGCTGCTGTGTTGTTGTAACCTGAAAAAAAAGGCCTTCTTTAAAAACTACTAATCCTTTTGTTTCAACCATTAAATGGGCCTTACGGCTTTTTTTCATTACCACATGAAAGTCTGTTAGCTATCCATTCCACATCTTTCCCTAGAAGGTGCCTGAAAAATGTCTTGTCTAATCTGTCTGTGCTCCAACATCTCTCACATTTTGACACTTGCAGGAAATGAGTGCATAAGAAGAAATTTACTAATTAAAGTAGTAAATACATAAATCAAATCTCCACACCTGTGGTACCTGGACGAAACAGTAAGACCTTTCAACTCTTCAGTGTTGTGCTTTTCCTTTTCTTTAACGATTCGTCACTGGCATATGGGTATGGACATGCAGAGTTTGGCGAACCTGTCTGTCAGTGACGCAAGTCAGTATTATGTAGAGTTCTACAGAGCTGGACCGTTCCATTGCATGTTACATAGCCTGACCTCTTTGAAAAAACACTTTCCTAGGTCATTTGAACGTCGTATGGGTATCCCTGTGCTTTCAAAGAGACCGGTCTCTAAAGATCACAATAGAACATTCTTTGCTAAAGGAACAATAAAAATATCATGCCGGGGTAGTAACTGTGCATATGAGTTGGGTATATAGATAAGTTTTGAGGATTTCCTGTAGTTTATTTAGTCGTAACAACCTGTCTTGATTGATAATGAATGTTGAAGTTCTTCTAGAGGTTCTAGAGAACTGATATATTTATTTTGCCTTGGCTCTGGTATTTTGGAATCCCCAGCTGCTTATTAGCCTTGGAGGTTCGAGTGGTGAGGTTTTGCAGCCTTAACAAAGTCATTGCTCTCATAGCTGTATTCTTCAATTGATTATTCTGCACCAACGGCACCCACCATTCATTAACGGATGTATTGGTCATGTGGAGATATCTTACCACTTCAATCCCCAACTAGCCAGTCTGTGGTTCCAGCTAGCCAGCAACCATACAAAAGTAAACATACTCAGTTTGTGTTAAGTTAACCAATAAGCCTATCAACAACTATGTTGTACTTTTGAAAGTAAAAAGTCTTGCCTGATAGCGCCTGCCATCAGGTTTGTTGGGGGACGCTGGCTAGAGGCACAGATAACGGCAGTCTGTTCTGCTTTTTAGGCAGAACTTTTACTTTCAAACGTTTTTAAAGTGGTGCGCTGTGTTTTTATATTGAAAGCTTAGCCAATAAAGATTCTCCCCTCCGCTTTTCTGTGGCCTTGTTATGCTTATCCAGGGGCTTTAATAAATTCTGAGACGCTGACCTGGAATTCTAACTTTATTCAGATTTTCTAATTTGCATAATTATTCCAGGTCGGTGATGCAGAAAGGGTTAAGGGCTTGTTCACACCAATTCCAGTGCGTTCTATTTACAATAACAATACAATTCAAGACAAGATTGTAAGGAGGGCCCTGCCCCTGAGGGCTTGCAATCTAAAAGGGATTGCCCCAGAACATGGGGAGCCGGACAGCTTGTGATCCAGTGTATTCCAGCAGCTAACCATGCATGAACGTACTGGAATTGGCGTGAACGTGCCCTAAAGACAGAGCCAGCTAATATTTAATGAAGAACCCTACGCCAAGCTTTTATTAAGCTTTGCAGTGGGGTTATTCCTGCACTGCAAGGGTTAACTGTTTGTTTTTGTCTTGGTTCTAATCAGTGGGCGGTTAACACTTGCGGTGCGGGAGTAGCCCAACTGCAAGAGTTCATAAAAGTTTTGCTTGGAGTTGTTTTTTAAGGTGGTCAACAACGGCAGCTCCCCTATATTTCCCTCAGTACAGCTTTCTATTACATTTCTTTAAATGGGCTGTATTCAGATTTCTGCTGTAGGTTCACATTCTGAGATGCAGTTTTTTTTTTGCCCATTCATAAAAATTCTGGCAGATGGTTTGTAGTCTCCTAAGAATGACTCATTGGAAGCACACGCAACTTCCTTTTGAAGGGGTGTGTTAAAAAATTTAAAACAGGAGGGGTGTGAGGGTAAGCTTTTACGTTGAGGGGAATGTATCAAAACTGGAGCATAGAAAATCGGGAGCAGCTGTGCATGGCAACCGATCAGCTTCTAACTTTCATTTTCAAATCTCAGCTAGACAAACTGAAGAGAGAAGCTGATTGGTTGCCATGGGCAACTGTTCCAGATTCTGTCTGCTCCAGTTTTGATACATTTCCCCCATTGTGTTTTAAATTTGTGACATTTATAGTGTGACAACATTTTACAATTCCCCCACTATTATCATAACAGTGGCCCAGCATACCGACGGTCTTGAGAAGGTTTTCAAATACATGAGGCATATCATCTCTGCCTTTCTTCATATAATGGCACGTTGTAAAATGTTGTAAAACACTATTAAAGTGTACAGAATCCCAAGATGTGGTTTTCAGTATGTTTTGCATCATGTCTTCCTGTATAGAGTTTGCTTATATAAATAGATTTTTGTGAATGTTACAAAGTCCCTTACCTGGCGATCCTGCCATTAACAACATGCACTTTTATAGTATTGTCAGCCTCCCTTGCAAGCTCCTTCAGATGGCCATTACCTACCTGGTAGACAGCCCAATGACCAACAAAAGTAGCTTACATGGCAAGCTGATGATGCTGCTGCTAATTGCAAGGCAGTGGCCCAGGCTGCATTCATTATAGTGCTTGTTGTATGTGTGTTCGGGGATTCCTGCAATGCAGCTTTAGC